GGCTGCTCTTCTGCTGGGCTCCAGCACCCACCTCGGACATGAGGCACCAACATCCCACTGTCATTAAGCAGAAGACTATTCAAGGCTCTTCAGCATTAAAGCTTCTGCTGGCCTGAGTATGTTTAATCCCAGAGATGGCAGAAGGAAAGAGACACAAATGACATCAAACTTTTCACTCAGTGTTTGAGTAAAGGTGAGTATAAATTCAGTAACCTTAGATGTTGCATGCATTTGCTATCTAGGTAATTAAAACAATTTGTCAAGCCCACAGACCTTTGAGGTTTTAATTTGAAATGTGTAATTGCTATCAGACTTGTAACTTTAATTTGAAATGCCTAAAAGAGTCTTTTCAGGGAGGAGATAGCTTGGCCACATAAGAGCCTGCCTGGGAAGCACAAGGTCCTGAGTTCAACTCCCAGTACCACATGCCTTGTGAGCCCCAGGAATCCATGGTGCGCCATGCAGGCCTGGAACTGGGCATAGTGACACATGCCTCTAATTCCAGCACTAGGGAGGCTGAGACAGGAGGATCACAGCGAGTCCAAACTGCATAGCAAGACCCTGTATCTAAATAAGGAAATAAGTAAGAATCTTTTCCAAAGAAAGCTGCCCTGCTGAGCTAGAGGTATAGCTCAGAGTCAGAGCACTAGCCCAGCATGCACAGGTCATGAGTTAAATCCCAAGCATCAGGAGTGAAACGTCCATTAAGTGTCTAGTGTCTAAGGGCGCCTTAGGTGTGTGATCTACTAACTTTGTTAGCCTCAGAGGTTGGAAGAGCTCAAGAAATAACAGGCAGATCACGATCATAAATGCAGTTTCCAATGTTTAAATCTGTTGGATTCACTAGGCTGTTAGTGGAAGTAATGTACATTAAAACCGTTTGGAGAGTTTAATTGGTTCACTTGAGTTAATCAGCCAGGCATCAAATCATGAAAGTCAATGTCCTTATTTTTATGGAAACATGAAGTTTGTCACCAGAACACTAGTATTTACAAGTTGAAGTTGGAAGCTTAAGAAAAGTTAA